AATGCTTTTGGATTGTTTTGCATTTATAGTAAATTAATCTCCCCATCTTTTCACACTGCACTGCTGTCACAATCCAAGAACCTCCCTTGATTTATATTTGTCAGTCTCAGTAAAGGGCTTTTGTACTGGTCTTTGTTAAGTTACATCATGTTGGTTTTCATTCCAACATTTACATTTCACTTTGAATCTCGACTGCACCTTTCAGTATATTAGCTACGGCTGACAGCTTTGTGTCACCTACAAATTTGACACCTTCAGTAAAGACTTTAATAAAAATATTGAACAAGATAGGATCAAGAGCCCTGTGGCATGCCACTGGAGACTTCCCTCCTGGATGGCATCCTCAAGTGCTTAACATCTAAAACAGGCAATAAACTTCATACACAAATAATAATACCAAGGTTTACCTGACAGGTACGGAATGAGCAGTAAGAAAAACAAATGCTATACAGAGAAGAAAATAACACATCTCAGAACCATCACACCAGGCTCTACATTTTAGTAATTAATTTCACAGGTTTCACTACAATAGGGCATTGAAAAAGATGTCTCTCATTCCTGAAATGTGCATATATATGTGCTAGGGTTGCAACATAAAATCCATTTCCTACTAAGGATCTCACCCAGAAAGTTTACAAACATAATATTAAAGGCTGAGCAGGATTTGAAATGTCATAGGGAAAGGGGTAATTAGCAGAGGAAAAAAATCTTACCCCGTTATGGATCAATAAACTCCTATAGATATGACTCCTCATGCTGCCAACTTGGCTCCACCTACCCCACCCCAAACACCCACTACTGTCAGCAACCCCAAAATGCAAAAATCAATATTTTTAGTACATATGTTTTTAAATGACTGATTTGCCAAGGGATTATTCATTTTTAAAATGGGTCATACAAGGGTGTCTGCCTGGCTCAGTCAGTGAGTCGATAGAGCATGACACTCTTGATCTCTGGGTTGTGAGATCAAGCCCCACATTGGGTGTAGAGGTTACTCTAAAAAACTTAAAATAAAATAAGATAGGTCATACATAGGGCTCATGTACAAAGCAACTGACCCTGGTTTAATATGGGTTCATTTGCTTGACACCCAGTTTTGTTTTGTTTTTTTTTTCAGAATACCAAGAATACAAAATATCCAGGGTTGCCACTGTTTGCTTATATTGTGTAACAAACCTAATGTTAAACATGACCCTTGAAACTGTTCCCACATCTTTCCAGTCAGGACGCTTTGATGATATAGTAAATATCACCATGGTTCCACCTTGAAGAAATAGGGTTTAAACAAGGATTTTGCTCCGTCAAGTAATTTTGTCCACATAAAACTTAAAATTCTCTTCAAAAGCAATACCTGTCAACAATCTGTAGTAAATATATATTTTTAAAAAACATATCTCTGAAGCAATTCTAGGCTCCCCAATTACTTTAAATCATGACAGTTTCTGTTCTCTCACTTTGTCTTCTATTCCTTCTGCCTTTCTTGGTCTGAAAATTAGTTACAGATAGGAAAAACCCAGAATGTAATCTGAAACCGAAAGCAACAAGCCCATTCACTGAGCTAAATCACTTGTAATTAGAAATAAAAGAAAATTCATTTATGAAAATGAAAATCCTAAAAGCTTTTTGGAATATGAAGTTAATCATTACAAATGTATCCCATCAGAAATAGCTTTTTAAGGCTGTAAGCTCCATAACTAATTTTAGAATAGCTAAAAGAAAGCCCTCAGAAAATTAAGGCAATCACCATAAAGACCCCATTTTGATAAAAGGGGATCTATATTAAATCAGACTGGAAGCATGGAGAGGACCTCAGGGAGCATCTACAGAATGTAGACCACAATCACACAGAAGACAAGAATAGGACTGGGACCGAAATACAGGGCCCTTTCTCCAGTTTCAGAACTTGTTTCTACCACACTCTTGACCTTGAGACTGAGGGTGATGGACCTGACACAGCACCTCCTACATCAGTAATTTCTGACTTGTGCCTCCTGACCAACATCCAACCATACCCAAAAGACAACAACAACAAAAAAAATAGGGGCGCCTGGATGACTCAGTTGGTTGAGCAACCGACTCTTAATGTCAGCTTAGGTCATGAGCCCAGAGTCATAGGATCCAGCCCCTAGTCAAACCCCGTATCAAGTTCCACACTGAGTGTGGAGACTGCTTAAGATTCTTGCTCTCTCAAAGTTATTTTGGCTTCCATTCAAGATTCTCTCTCTCTTTCTGTCCCTCTGCCCCTCTCTCTCCCACTCAGCGCTCTCTATTAAAAAAAAAAAAAAAAGAAAGAAAATTAGGAAAGTTAGCCCATTACTTTGAGATGGTATCTGAATAACTGTTTTTTCCCCTCTTTTATACAAAGAATATAAAAATTCATGCAAGTATAAAACATTTTAAAGTATAAATATTTTAAATGAATTTTTAAAATTGTATTAGTTAATAGTAAGTATTATAAATATGAATATTTTAAAATATGAAATAAAATATTCCACTAAAATACAGGATTCATGAGGGTAGGGTCCATATATAACTTGTTTATTGTTCTATCCCCAGCACCTATGTGGTAACATATTTCTGGGTGCTTTTGTTTGTTTTCTGGGGTTTTTTTACTGCCCTTGATCCAAATATCATTCTTATTTTAAAGTACCTCCCTACAGTATGCAGTGTAAGTAGAATGCAATGACCCTCTTCTCACCTTCTCATAGTTAGGGAGGCATCCAGCTGGTTCTTGTAGAGGCAACGTAAAAATACAGGGATAGCAGAGAAGTTACTCTTGGCTGCACCAGCAGAGGCTGTCTGTTGCATGGAGTGACCTTGACCCTGCTCTAGCTCCTATTCTCCCCTGGTCCTTAAGTGTTTTCCAAGCTTGTACCTCTTGCATTTCTGTTGCTTCTGTGAGCTACCTGGTTTCTTCCATGAAAATTCTTTTCTAAATACTCAGTTGGTTTAAGGCAGCTTCTCTTGGTTATACCAACAGCTCTAACATGCACATAGTAGGCATTCAATAAATATTTTTTAAATGAACAAATCAATGAATAAATCAATTAACCATCATCATAATTTTCTGTACAACACTTAGAGTTTTCAAGAACTCGCCTATATTCTGATTATTGCATCTGGTTGCTACCCCACTTATGCTCCAATATTTAAATTGAGATATTTAACAAAGGTAAATTCTTCTTGATGCAAGAGTCAAGTACAAAAAAATTATCATTTTAACTAAACTAGGACTAGACGTCATTTACCAAAGTCGGCCATGATACCTCATGGTGTCGGTTACCACTATGAGTAATGCCATTTAAGTAATAAGTAATTTGATGAAGTAAAAGTCTCTGAAAGAGAATTTTAAAATAAGAGCTAGGGAGAAAAACTAAGTATGAGCACGAAAAATAAAAACTGTGAAATAATTTTATTCAAAAGAAATTAGATTTGCAAACAGCATCAAAAAATAGGTGTAAAAAAAGGCAACTGAAACTTCAGATATGAGCTGACATTCACGGGGCACACAGTGGGTGGAAAAGTTCAGGGACTTTGAAGGAGCTGTGTCTGCAAAGACAAAAACTAGGTCCCCTTATAACACAAAAAAATCTTTGCTTTAATCAGCTATTTAACCTTACTTGGTTTGTGAATTCTTTAAAATGTTTCCATTCACCCCTCCTCTACTCCCCTGAAAGCTGAAATCAACCATAACTCACTCCTTCCACACAAAACCCCCTGATTTAAAAGGGGAGGGGAAGGACTAATAGTAAAAACTGAAAATTAAATATCATAGTTTTGTAGCACATGTATGTAGAATACTATTCAAAGGATTTTCAGAAATCTTTCAAGCCCAGAATCAACTAAATGGAAAATTCTGAGGACTTTTCACATTTAGACTCAGGAACCATGTTTGAAACATGTGTATCAAAACATGACGTTTCAGAATTGCCCTAAGAAATTCCACTCCCTTGTTACAGATTTACATTGATAAGGCAAGGAATTTAACACAGTGCGTTGTGTTAGGTTTAGGTGAACACAAAGCCCCGAGACCAGGTTTCCCCAGTCTGATACCATTACAAAATCCATTAAACCATCTCAGTAAGCAAGAGAGGAAAGGCCATTTTGTGTTCAGTGACCTATACTCAGCCCCATGGATTTTGAAGCAGGCAATGTAGTTTTGACTCTATATCTGATCTCCAGGGAGCCTGGGCACAACTCCTTTCCGGATAAAGTCTGAAGAACACCTTTCGCCAAGAAAAGTAGGTAGTAAGCACTTAAAAGTAGTTTTAAGAAGAGACCAAGAGAAAAATGAAACATCGGGAATGAGGACTGTGAAACTCTCATTATTTCAACTCCACGTGGCCTATGCATTTCCTGTATAATTTGTGATTCCTATAAAACGTGGTCATTTCGGGGCGCCTGGGTGGCGCAGTCGGTTAAGCGTCCGACTTCAGCCAGGTCACGATCTCGCGGTCCGGGAGTTCGAGCCCCGCGTCAGGCTCTGGGCTGATGGCTCAGAGCCTGGAGCCTGTTTCCGATTCTGTGTCTCCCTCTCTCTCTGCCCCTCCCCCGTTCATGCTCTGTCTCTCTCTGTCCCAAAAATAAATAAAAACGTTGAAAAAAATTAAAAAAAAAATAAAATGGGGTCATTTCAAACTGTGATGTAAAGACGACCCAAGAGGAGAACACAAAATCTACACACCGAAAGACTACCCCCTGGCTTCCAGTGCTTTTCTGATAGATTCGGGGGAGGGAGGGAGCTATTCCTACACTACTTGGATGTATCAAGTCCCTCTACATGTTCGTGTCAATAGAACCATAATGGTTCCTTCAGCATGTACGGTCCACACAACCGCGTCCGCTCCTTGCTCTGAGAACGCACAGATACTCCTCCTCAGGACGACATTCCTGGCCCCGATCCTGAGCGAAGGAGAAGCAAGGCGCACGCGCTGCCCTCGGGGCTCCTGGGTCCCGCCTGGAGGACACCCAGACTTGTTGCTCCGGCGGCGGGAACTCACCATTACGGACCGCGTGCGGCGCGCCCTGCCCTCGAGGAGGACGGCCTGTGCTCGGAGCCGGCGTCCCGGGCCCGTCGTCCCGCGGCGGCCCTGCGAGCCGCTGCGCCTCGCGGGGCCAGGCCTGGAGCGGGCGGCGGTCCTACAAAACCCGCGCCCCGAGAGCCGGGACCGGAAGCGCCCGCGGTCCGCCCTTCCGCCTCCAGAACGCGGGCGCCAGGCCTGGGGCGCCTGCTGGGGGGGTGGCCCGGTTGACCCCGGGGGAGCATCTCGCCACCTCCCGCCCTGCGTCTTCGCCTCCCAAAGGTCTCCTCCCAAAGGGGCGAGCGCAGCCCCCACCCCGAGCCCGCGCCCCCCCCTCCCCCCGCCGGGCCTAGCTCGAGGAGAGGAGCCCGAGTCCCGGTGGCCCGACCCTGCCGCGTGCGCGACCCGGGCCGGGGCCGGGGGGTCAGGCCAGGGCACCCGCTCGAGGGCCCCCGTGGGCCGGGCCCACTCCCCTCCCTTCCCCGCACCCCCGCGGCCTCCCCGCTCCCGCTGGCTCCAGGAATCAATAGTGACCGCTGATTTTTCACGACAATTGCAGCTGTCTAATTCATCAGCGAATAATTAAATCAGAAGCAGCCAGGCCTGCTTTGAGCAGAGCCGGGTTTGGCGTCGGAGACTAGGGGTCTCCCCTACCAGATCCCAACAAACTGGGGGCCCAGTTGGGAGCCAGTAGGGCAACCAGGGGACAGGCCTCGCCCCGTGCCGCGGCTGGGAGAGCGGCTCCGTGGGAGGAAGGAATATCCCGGCGTGGGGAGTAAGCGGGGGGGGGGGGGGGGGGTGGCCGGGGGACAAGCAGGGCGCTCCGCCGCGGAGCTCCGTTTGGGGGCTCATCCCAGAGCCTCCTGGCCCGCAGTGCCTCGCGTGGGGCTGCGCTTTCCACTCTCCTCACGCTGACTTTGCGAAGGGAGAGGAAATCACCCTCGGGAGGCGATTTGCCTTTGAGGAAGATGGAGAGGAGCAGAGAGAAGCGCCTAGAAACGGCATTGATTTAGACATCAATCCTGGCCGGCTCCCTCCGCCTCCCGAGCCGCGGGGCCGCGCAGCCCCCTCCCCGAGAAGCCGCTCGCCTCCGGCCCGAGGCCGCCCGGCTCTGCGGGGCTGGCGAGGGCGGGCGGAGCCCGCGCGAGGGCACGGCCAGCCTGGGGAGCCGCTCGCAGCCTCC